GGTCAGACTTACCACAAACTGTGGCTCCCCGAATCATATCTACATCCGCAGATAATCAAATAATTAAAATAATTCTGGTGACCAAGTAGGAATTTTTTTAAAATATAATATTATCATACATATATACAGTATTTCAATCCAGTCAGGATTCTCTAAACATAATACTACATGGCCTAGTAATATGCACAAACAAGTAAAAAGTCAGTAGATGTAACTAGATAGTTATATTCGTATTCATCGACATGAGTGGATTAATTAGTATACAAGCATAGTTTTCATAATTACGAATCACTGAGGAGAACGATAATATCAACTTTTATGTAGATTACAATTAATTCATAAATTAGAATTAAAATCGAGATATTAGGGATTAAATTTTTTAAGATGTCGACTAATCTGATGAAATTCTTAGAAAACTTTTCAAATTGTTTTCTTTGCTCTTTTTATTCTTGTGAAAAAATCTAAATTCAGTCAATTCGATAAAGTTATTCATTTTTTTTCGTTTACTGGTGTATTAATGCATATTTCTTTTGTATACAAGGCATAGGAACAGAAAAAAAAACATAGCCAATTCATAAATTGAAACAGTGTTGTACATCGTCATAACTATCCATCAGACATGTACAGTTAAATAACCTGGGAGGAAGAAACTACGATTAGTATTAACTTTGTGTATTCAAAACAAAAATATGATTTCATCTTCATATCATCAATTCGTTATTTTTTTAGGTCCTATTTATATCAAAATCAATTCATCGTGTCTACGTGGTAAACTTGCTCATCTTCCCGAAAAAAATCAAATTCGTCGAATAAATATCTTTCAAGAACTCATCTTAAAACGGTTTGTTTAATTTTATCTTTATTTATGAGAGAATCACTCCAACTAATTACCAATGTGCTGAGCTCACATTGAGCTCACAAAGACTTCTGATTGAGATTAGCAAAAGTCTAAAACGGTTTATTCATATGAATCTTTATAGTCGAGTGATGATCGTCTTATTGAATTTTCGACGCAAAATTTTGTCTATAGATAGGTCAAATAGAATATCTTGAAAGTTTCAGCCTGAAAAGAATTTTTCTTTGTCGACATATTGAGTTTTTAAGTAAATACGCCTGTGACAAGCGATTATTTTTTGAATATTCAATAACTCGATAAAATAACATTCTTTTCGACTGAAACTTTTAGAATATCCTACGGGTTATTTGACTTATCTATGAGCAAAATTTTACATCGAAATTCTGTAAAACGATTATAAATTGGTTGTAAAGGCTCACGGGAACGAAGCCATGTTAGACTTTTATTAGTTTCACCAAGGTATCCTTGGGAACCGAGATGAAATCAATCTGTTGTTTTGATGAATGGTACCGGTTTCATCTCTACTCCGGGGAGGTTTAACATGAGCTCAAATAACCGATATGAGTTCAAGTGGTTCTCTCGTCAATCTATATAATTTTTCATTTACAGTTATGGTTTTATTTTAAATGCTTGTGTTAGTTATAAAAATGAAAATATTTATTATGTTCATATTAGTGGCGGTATGTTGGTCTATATTATATCTGATGTTTATAATGTTCATTATAATCGTCAAACTACACGTATTATATCAAATGGAATTACAGCTGATAATCAATTATCACCCTTAGATTGTGGATTTTATTGGTGTTGGAATTTTTGTTTAGGAAAAAAATGGCGAAGTTTACAAACAGGTGAAGAAAAATATCAAGATATTATGTTAGCAGATTTTCGGGCATTTTGTGATAATGATAATAACCGTTTAGTTAATTTTTGGAACGAAGCAAATGATATGGCAAATAAAAAAATGACTGAAAAAGAACAAGAATCATGTAATGAGGATTAGTTCAATACGGTCAAACATCTAGTCTTTTTCATATTTTTAAATATATATTCTATGTTTTATGACAGTGATTGTTATAGGTTTGACTTTCGTGATAGACAAATGGAAAAGAAAACGAGTAAATTTTAACTGTAGTTTATAAATATATAAATAAATTATACTGTAAAAAAATATATATTTCTAATTGGTTAAAAAAGTTGAAGACAATGTATCATCAAACTATGGTTTTTTGATGAAATAATAAAAGATTTTGTTTCTATCAATAGGTAGAGATTAAAAAAATTCTCATTAATGAATATCTATTCATTAAAATATGTTTGCTTTAAAATTTTGTCTTACGAGGGAACTTTCCCAGGTGTCTCACTCCGATTTCGTTAGTTTATATATCATTTGATAAAGAATCTCGAGTAGGTAAAAAGTCTAACACGGTTCCGATCGATAGCTTTTTCTTCGAGAGTTACGAACAGTTTTCTAATTTTTCCAGCGAAAACTAGTATAAAAAGAACAATTCATAATTCCATCAAGGAAATTCATAGAGAGCCGAAATTTGTTTTTATGGTAGTCTCAAGGGTCTTCTATATACTCTGAACGTTTCACAATTCTACCAATCTTTTCCCGAGTTATACAATATTTCTATAAGTAAGGATGTGAGTGTGGGCAAAGGGAGCACTAACGCTTACACCCACACCCACATCTTTACTTATAGAAATATTATATAACTCGGAAAAAGAGAGTGGTAGAATTGTGAAACGTTCAGAGTACATAGAAGACCCTTGAGACTACCATAAAAACAAATTTCGGCTCTCTATGAGTTTCCTTGATAGACTTATGAATTTTTCTACTTATACTAGTTTTCGCTGGGAAAATCAGGAAAGTGGTCGTAACTTCCCAAGAAATAGCCGTCGGTCGCAATCCTTTTAGGCATTTTACCTACTCGAGGCCCTCTATTGAATGATATATAAACTAACGAAATCAGAACGAGACATCTAAGACTGTTTCCTCGTTAGTGTTTAACGACTACAAGTAACTAGTTTAGGAATTAAAAATTATTGATGAGTTATTGTGTGTTCAATAACATATTTTATCGAATTTCATTTTAACTAATTTATTAAATAAATTAAAGGATAAATATGACAGTTAATTTTCAGTGACATAAAATCTCTTCTTATATACCTTCTATTAATATTGTTCTGAACAAAAAGATTAATTCATACTTACATTTATTGTCATGACTATTTATCAATAGCAGAATATTGCATCCAATGTTTATATTTAGCGGAAGTATAAAAATTTTCATTCTGATTGAATTCCTAAATCAATAGATTCAATTGAGAGCCTTGACCACGACCAATAACAATTGCAACATTTGGTGTTTTTTCAGAAAGCTGTCGTATCATTCAGTATTTATTTCTTTCAATCACATACAACTTGCTCAATTGGTCGACAGTAACTAAGAACGAATCTGCTAATTAATGATGTCATTACACTTAGAATCATGAGAAACAATTGAAATATCTTTTCTTTCTTCATCTATTTTTATTATTCGATCGGTCATATTGTCAGTACAGCATCAACAAATCGATTTTGATCAAAAAATATATGAAAAGATCAACATAAATTCCAAGTAGCTGTTTGTCCATTCTTTTCATTGTTGTATTATTTTCTCAGATTTTGTGATCGATTATCAACAACTATATACATAATTATAATTCTTCGTTATCTTATGTTATAGTAAATGAGTGTTGTTTACTACTAATACGTAAATGTTTCTCCACATTCGTCATCACGCACCTACCTCTGAATTTTGTGATTAACCCAGTCAGTAAAAGAGAGATGGCTAAATTTGTATCGACGACAACATTGCATGGGCTTTTTGGCTCATCATTACCAGCACCTTAGTCATTTTCAGCTGTTACTATTTCTCCATTTAATTGCTCAATCTTTGAAGTAATCTGTGATAAAAATTGTTTGATTTTCTTAAATAGACATAATCTAAGAAGCGTTTACCTGGTTCAAGGTAGATTTCTGACCGTTACCATTAGTAACAGAGATATCGTGAAATTCTTTGAAGGTGAGTGTGTACGTGAGTGAACCTGTGAATGTACGAGTTAGAAATTATTAACAACCACATCTACCTTAAGGAAAGTGGTATTTGATCATCTTTACGAGAAAAGTTATTGCTCTCACTTACAGTACGTCGAAAAATGATTTGTTTATTTTTCAATTGAGTTCTAGGAAATCGGAACTTCGCCGAATTCATATCATTGCTTTCATATTGAGTAAGAACTGCTTTGATACACGACGTCAATGTCAATGGATTGCTTTTCATCTTTGAAATAATGATCTAAAACTCGACGATATCCAAGATTGATGCAATCGATGCAATTACGTCTCCATTGAATCCTTAGTGAATTCTTTTCTCAGTCTAAATCGATTGATAGATAACTTGTGAATCTTTGTCGAATTCAAACACTTGACAGTGTGAAATATTCGATGTGATTTCGACTTCTTGAGTACAATTTTTTTTTGTTAGGACATAAAAAATTCGTGAATATGTGATCATTGACATATCAATCATTGACTAGATGTGCATCGTTTCGTAAAGCAAATTGTTTTCATTCATTTTGACTTATTTTTGTGTCCATCATCTCTTGCAGTATTTCATTCGTTTCTACCGTCTCGTGTGACGAGATTCAATAAACAGCTTTTTTTACATTCTTGCTTGACAACACATCACACTGATGATTTCTGTAGTGTGGTGCAACGTTAAAAAGAAAGTAAAAACGTTGGCAACGTTTTTTTGTTTTGTCGTAAGTAAGCATGCTGAATCATTTTTTGGTTCTTCTATGTCTTCTAAGAACAAATATTGCTACTCAGACAATTAAATCTTGATGACCACACAAGAAGTCAACTGTTTAATCAATATATTCGATCTGTGCAAATACAATAATCTCAAGATATTCATAATCTTAAGCGAACAGACGAACAAAACCGCTGAATGATGATGAAAAAGTGAAAAAAAGTATTTTTTTTCCTCTCCTGTCAATAATACACGCGTATATACGATAGTCATGTCAATGAGAATAGTCGTCATTACAAAAAGTGCACTGAACTGTATATTAAATCTCTTTTTTTTCAGACAATATGGCCGAAGAATTGACTATGGACACTATTGATCTGCCGGAACGTATTCCAGAAATCGTGTCAGATAAGCCTAACACATCGGCATATCAACATTTGATAGATCGATTAGCGAAATTACAAACTCTACCAACAACAACTGCTCAATTGAAGAAAGAAATGTGGTCTCAATTTTTAGCTCTTTGGTGCGAAATTCTTCAGATCTCTCCATCTGATGCTTCATTGTGTTACGAAGAATATGCTTCTGTTCTACCTCGCCTATTCAAAACGGTTAATTTTTATTTCATACGAAAAGATGTGAAAGTCGCTCGAGAGAGCTGTTTTACATGTATTTCTCAACTCAATCATCCGAATATGAGATATTTTCTTCAGTTAACAACCGAACAACAGAACATACCAGAGAATAAGATTTATCATCAACATATTTACTATCTTTTACTAATTGCTGCACAAACAATTTCATTTTTGTCATTTGCGACGAGTGACGATCAACAATTTATTGAAAATCATCAAGAACTTTATAGTCTATTAATTGAACATATCGAACAAAGTATGCCCGAACATTGTCAAACAATCATAGAAAAAGAACATGACTTAGGTATCATTAATTTACGTGGTCTTAGTGTACTTTGGAATACAGCTGATCGAACTGTACTCGTTCCCATATTGTTGAAATGTGATCTTGCCAAGAAAGTTATCGGTTGGCTTGCTCAATCGACTAAATTGACGGACACTGGTCGTCGACCTCTAATCAGTATTGTTCATAATATTGCTCGACATGATGATGGAGCTGATGAACTCAACAAATATGGAGCGATCGACAAAATAAAAGAATATAAGAAGATGTAAGTTCATAAAATATGTATTTCAATTTTGTATTCTGTTCATATTCAAGTAAACTAGAGAAAATGGATTCACGAGTTTTGACTATTTCAATGGCTTTGGCTCTTCTCTCCACACCTGAAGAACTCAAACGCGATCAGAAAGGCATGAATATAGTACTCAATCAATTACTTCAACTTGTTATCGATGCTGCTAAAGGTGACCGATATCGACGTGATGGTTTTCATGTTAGTGAACCATTAGGTGTCTTAGTAAAAATGTTCGTTGTCGAAGAACGTACACTTGACTATGTCTTATGCCATGCAGAAACACAACCACCATCAGATGTGCATTCAACAATTCGTCTATTTGCATCGTTACTTTTCAAATTTGCTGATGCATTAAAAGGAACAGATCGACTCGAACAATTTACATTGATAGCTTTATTAAATATTTTCTGGAGTATATCTTTTCAAGAGAATTATGCATCAGAATTACTTCAAGATCAAGAATTAATAGTAACAATTCAAAAATTCGTCGAAAATGATCAAGCAGAAGAAATTCTCGAACAATACAAACCACGATCTATGGAAGGTATTAAAGAAGCAGCACATGGTATTCTACATAATCTCAATCAAGATAAGAAAAATGAGATAGTATTTGATAAAGAGAATATTTCTCTCGATGCTCTTGTTTTGAATCCAGTCGGAGGGTAAGAAAATCAATTTTACGGATGAGTCAATATCAAGATTTGATTTTCTAGGATACAAAAGAAACCATCGATTATGATTAGTTATTCTCATGGAGATAATATTTTTTGCAATAAAATACTCGATTTATTAACTAAACATAATGACGTCTTTGAAATATGGATCGATCGAACACATTGTCAAGGAGTTGAAGATTTGTGGGAATCAATTGCCGATGGTATGGAACAAGCATCTATCATTGTATGTCTACTTTCGAGTCAATATTTTGAGAGTAAATCATGTCGAAAAGAATTTATCTATGCTACGGATTCACTCAAGAAAAAAGTTGTACCTGTATTAATTGAGCATTTCGAACCGAAAGGATGGCTTGGTAAGTTACGAAAACAAAATCATTTTTCGACTCGATTTGTATTCATTCATTAAAGGTATTCGGATGACTGGTATGAAGTATGTTCGTTTTCGAGGACCTTTCGAATCGGAACAGAACAAAATGACCGAATTGTTAAATACAATATTTTCATCACTGTCATCGGCAAAAATACCCATCAATGAGAATCTCTCAGCCCAACCACCGAATCACAGCACGCCGTCACCATCACCATCGAATCATGTAATGTTGCCGCTGTCATCACTACCACATCAATCTTCATCATCGCTTAATACTTTTGCTACACAACCAACTCCAGTGGCTTCTCTCCGTCCCTGCAACCAATGGACATCAACTAGTGGTGATATTCATGCATGGTTTGTACATCATCGACTATCGACAGAATTGCGTGATTTATTTGACTTTCAAACCGGTGAAGAAATGCTCGATTATGCTCAATTGTTGATTAAAGATCGTGAAAAACAAATGAATATTTATGAAAGAATTTTCGCTAAGAAATATAATGGTAGTGATATGCCACCGCATGAATTTAATCGATTTGCAAAAGCTTTGGAACAATTACTAAGAGATAATCCTTCGCCTACGATGAAAAAAAATTCATCAGCCTCAAACAAATCGAGCATATGCACTATTTTGTAAAAATAAAAGAAAAAACAGAATTGTGTATTTTTTTGTTTTTCACAGATTCTGTATCAAAAGAAAATAATGACAGATCATTCTCTTATGATACTTTGAGACAGTACGATGCCCACTAAGCACGTTTGTCATCCGTAGTCACTGTTTCGTGGCATCCTCATCTGACGTGCTGTGCTTCGTGTGCAGCGCAATCGCCAGCTAATGTGATTGTTATGACAAGTTACTTCATTTTGTAATGTTGAACAGAAGTGATTGATCAGAGGAAGTATCGAAAATAATCAGATAATATTTTAATTAAGAAGTTCACTTGAGAGCGAGCTTGACGAAAACGATGTCACAATTCTCGTCAAGCTTTCTTCGAGATAAGCTCTGTGATGTGATCAATTACATCCTCCAGATTGATCCACTTCTAGATATTTTATGATCATTGCGTTTTGACTAGCGAATCAACTAGGTAAGACTGGCCATCGATCACATCTCATCTTCAGAAGATCAGATTCTTCACTAGAGATATACAGGGCTCGCTTTTACACAGACATACTTGTCAATTGATAGAGAGGCATCTTATACATAAACATGTCTATCGACTGAGAACAACCTAAGAGATTGTTTCAACAGAGTTCCATTGAAGAAAAACATCGGAGCAGCGACTGTGAGTTTTTTTCATCGATGATCTATGATCACTCTCATATATTTGACTTGTATACTACAAGCATGCTAGTTGTCTCTTTGTTCGTATACTTTTACCAGCTGTTTCTCATGTAGTTTCTTATCTAATTTTTTTAAATATTTTGGGAACCCGTATGCAGCAATCAGACCCATTTAGCCAATAGTCTATCTTGGATATTTGACACAGGTGGTAAGTATTCAATATTGCATATGATAAAATACAAATTTAGACAGCTGAATTAACTGACGTCTTTGTCATAGCGTCTATTTCTTATTCATATCCATACTCTTATAAAAACTCTTCGTGATAATTAGTGTCATTTGTTGGTTACTCGTCATAATCGTGATTTTGAATAAGGATGCGTCGATTTTTTTCCCTTTTTGCCTCTACCCACATAAAGAATGGTGTTGTATGGAACGATACTGATGGTCGTTCAATTTAGGCACATACCACTAGTATTCTCATCGATCCTTACGATAATTCTTATTGGTGGTATGGTGAATCATTAAAAACAGCGAATCTATCAGATCATGGAATTAATTGCTACTATTTGACTGATCTCCTCACCTGGACAAACATGGGTCAAGTACTTGAACAACAGCAACGGTCCGTCGAAGGACATACAGGTCCGTACGTTATCGAACGACCAAAAGTTCTCTGGAATTGTGTTACTGAATGGTTCGTCATGTGGTTTCACTTAGATAGGAGCAGCTATACCTATCGATATGTTGGTGTTGCAACGTCGTCCGTTCCTAATGGTGTATTCACATTCATACATGCATTTCAACCGGATGGTATTCCGTCATTAGACACGAATCTCTACGAAGACAAGCGCAACGGTTTAGTCAACAGCGCATATTTAGCTCGTTCGTGCAATAATCAATATGCTGGAATTAGTCGATTTACTAATGACTATCTCAATACAACTGGTATAATGAGTACCATTGACGAGCCACGAGAGGGACACGCAATATTTCATCAAAACAACAACTACTATATGATGACAAGTCATCTTACTGGTTGGATGCCAAATCCGGCTGAACTTTTTATAAGCAATACAAATAGTTTTACAAGATGCCAAATAGATTTCATTGGGTAATCCAACCTATTCCATTACAAGCTTCAA